TTGGGAGGTTCTTGTGCATTCACTTTATAGATCGGACCTCGCGCCAAGTGATTACTATCTATTTGTGTTAATGGTGAATGATTGGCTGATGAGTAATTGGCCTCGAGGGACGAGGCGAGAAAGATTTATTGACATAACTTTTATAATAGCAAAAAGGTATCGAGCAACGTGGAGCATATCTCACGTAAATCGGAGATTTCTAACTACAGGCAAAAAAAGACATGAATTTAATGTAAAAACAATGGCTGAATTTTCACTATATTAGGTCGAGTAAAAGTTCGTTCGGTTTTTTTTTTATTGATTTTTCAAAATATGATAACTTTGGGTACATTTATCCGATTTTATTCAAATATGTTCGTAAACTTGTTGCAATGAGATTATACCCCTACCGTAGAAGGCTGCGTCCCTATTGTCAAAAAACTCGGTGAACCAATTTTCACAGGCATCTCTTAAGGCCAACTTTTCACTATTAAGCGCGTTCGCCATGGACAGGAAAAATGGTAATCACTTGGTACCAGGTCCGGACTTTAAGGTGGGTGCATTGGGATGTCACATTAGAACTCAAAGAGCTTCTGGCGCATCACCAAGCACGTGTGTGGCCTGGCGTTGTCCTGATGGAACACAATTCGGCCTCTGTTGATCAAAGATGGCCTCTTTTGGATGAGTGCTGCCTTCAAGCGATCCATTTGTTAACAGTAGAGGGCTGAATTGAGCATTTGGCCATAGGGGAGATGCTCGTAGTAGATGATTCCTTGCCAATTGCACCTGCACAGTATCGGGCCCATAACTAAATTAATTTTTTCAGCCGCTTTGGCTGTTTTTTTGACTTGATCGAAGAAAAATTGTAAAATATAGCGATTTTTCTCTTTGCTGGTGTCCATCTTTGACGAGCGCTCACAACGTTTTGAGTCAATCAATCGAAAAACTGTCAAACACAAGCTTTTAGCGCGAATAAACACGTTTTCAGTGCCGAATAGTATGACATGATGGGACCCGAAACACTAGTACTATGAACAACAACGCCATTTAGATAATAACCGAACGAACTTTTTACTTTACCTAATATACTTAGAGGGCTAATAGTTACTTCTCAATTCCAAGAACCACTTCTTTTTATCTTCTCCCCACTAACCTTTAAGCAAAGCCTTATCAATATCATGTTAAAATAAATTTAGAACAAAATTTTCAGGCAAACAGTTTAATATTGACTTCCCCATGTACCCAGTCTTTCTCACTAGTTCATTCATATTGCTTAATGTGCATATAAATATCATCGTTAAGTGAATAATTAGAAGTGATCATTCAGCGTTTAAGCGCCATAAGTCAAAGCATAAAATGAGTTATCGCCAACACATAACCAAACTGAAATGGAAATAATGAAAATGCCAAAGAATATAAATGAATACATGAAAAGATTGCGGAGTGCAGTAGTGGGAGTGAAGAAGAGCAACAATAAGAAGGGGGTAATAACTTGAAGCTAAGAAAATGTGAGAAATATCCGACAGACAAGTGAAAGCAAAAATCAAATAAAAACTCGAAGAATGCAGGAATTGCATAGCACTTTCCGCGCAACATGTGGCTGCTTGTGTGCTGCTTGTGCAATATATTGTCTAAAGCTTCAAAAAAAATGCTGAAGTGGCGGTCGTCGCTTTGAGATGAAGAGTTTGAAATAATATTTTGTCGAAAGCAAAATCCGTTGGACGTCAGCGGTCCATTTAATCAGCATCGTCTCACAGCTGGTTTGGAAAATCTCATTACAAATATCCCTACATACATACGTATATACAACAAACTCATAAATATAAAATAAACAAGTTTTAGTGAAAGGCACGGAGTCGTTGTAGTTGTTATTAACGCACCAAAAACCCCAAAATGAACACTCATTTACAATACGCAATTACTTAATTATATGCATATACACAAGCAAACAAACAAACAAATAAATAATTAGATAAAATCCAAACACACAAGCACAGCCATACATATGGGCAAACAAATGTAATTATTGTAATCACTCATTTATGTATACAACCATAAATATTTTATATTCAAATACAAATCTGCCGATTTTCTCAGCATATTTTGCGCCTTTCTCGCTTTTCAACGCTGATTTTGGGGCAACTTTTGTCCATTCGAAGCAGAAAATAGCAACCAACTGTTGGCCGAGCATTACTTTCAAATCATTTTCATGCTCATCTGTACTTGTAGGGGTTTGTGTGTTTGTTTGTAGCAACGCCCAGCTGTATTGCATATTGATGTATGTATGTACATTTGTAAGTACGTTATGCATGACAGATTGCTGGTAATGAATTATATTTAATTATGAAAATCAATTTAGTTGTTTTTCTTCTTCTTTTAATTATCTCATTCTTGCCCTTCGCTTCGCGTGGTGTGCCGCTGCTGTTCGGCGCTCTTAAATGTATTTAAGTATTTATTTGAGATTTATGTGGGAAGTGGGTCGATGAGTGGGGATTTAATGGTTAAATATTTATATTTACCATCACTATGTACATATGTATTCAAAAGGCAAGTTATGAGTGTCCCCAATTATGCAACTTCTTAGGCTGCAACTACCCAACGAGCGTACCAGCCGTCCATAGTAACCTATCTTATGAGAGCGCCATGTAAACACAAAGTTGTCACCGATTTACCATAGCGTTGCTGACGTTTGTGTCGCAGAAACCAACGAAAAATAAATGCGTAACTAATTATTTGTTACCATATAGATAATACATATTTGATTTTCGTTAATATTCGAACACATAAATTATGAAATTTGTTGACGAAAATTATGAATTTGTTCAAAAGTGTGCAAACACACAGGCTGCAACTACCCAACGAGCGTACCAGCCGTCCATAGTAACCTATCTTATGAGAGCGCCATGTAAACACAAAGTTGTCACCGATTTACCATAGCGTTGCTGACGTTTGTGTCGCAGAAACCAACGAAGTTTTGATTTTTCCGTAAAACCGGCTCGGCTCATTTTTCGTTGCTATACAAGGTTGCCAGTATAGCCTTTCTTAAAGTAACATTAAATAATCGAAAATAATGCGTAGTTTTGTTCAACAGAAATGAAAAATAAATGCGTAACTAATTATTTGTTACTATATAGATTTGCCTTGTGTTTATGTTAAAGCAAATAAATTATGAAATTCGTTGACGAAAATTATGAATTTGTTCAAAAGTGTGCAAACACACAGGCAGCTGGCAACATTTCGCCGCTCTCAGCGGCGTCGATAGCTCGTGTATGTATTTCACTACTGATGTCGTCAGTTATGGACGGCTGGTGAGTAAAATGGGTAGTTGCAGCCTTAAAAAAACATTATTTTGACTTTGTTGAATACATTAGATCTTAATAACATAATATTTTGTATCACAACTGAGGCCAGATTAATTTATTTATTGGAGCTGTCATCGCATTAACCACGCCACTGCTGAGGTCGTAGATAACTTCGTCTATCTTAGAACCAGTATTAACATTAAAAACGATGTCAGCTTGGGAATCCAACGCAGAAAACTTAAGCTTTTTATTTTATTGTCTTTTATTTTATTTAAATATTATTTTATTTAAGTTTTATTTATTTTATTTTATATATTAAAAGTTTTAGCTATCTTTCGAAGTTGAGTTAAACGTCACACGGTTGGGACGTTTTGTATTATTAACGTATTGCCCCTGAAGAGAGCTGCCGATGTGTATATTTATTCTGATCTTAAGACGGAAAGCTTATTCAATTTATTTTTTCTTATTTTACTTTATTTAATTAAGTTCGTTCCCTTCTTTTATTTTTATAATTTTTATTTATTTTATATTATTTTATTTTATTTTATTTTATTTTATTTTATTTTATTTTATTTTATTTTATTTTATTTTATTTTATTTTATTTTATTTTAATTTATTTTATTTTATTTTATTTTATTGTATTTTATTGTATTTTATTTTATTTTATTTTATATTATTTTAGCTAAGTTTAGCATAATTTTTTGTTCTATTATATTTGAGTTTAGTTTATTTAATTTTTTGTTTTTTTTTTTTAGCTTAGGTTGGTTTGTCTTATTTGATATTACTTTACTTTACTCAAGTTTAACGGATCTTATTTATTCTAACGGATCGTAATTCTGTTTGGTTTTTAATTAATTTTATTTATTATTATTTTATTTATTTTTATTATTAAATTTGGATGATTAAATTTTATTTCTTTAATTTAGATTTGTTTAATTTAATTTTATGTTATTGAATTTAATTTATTTATTTTTTATATTATTTAGTTTCACATTTTAATTAATTTTTAGAATTTTTTAATATTTTTTTAATTTAATTTAATATAATTTTTTTTTGGTATATATTAATTCAATTAAAATTAATTGAATTCTATATTACCTACGTAATGTTATTTTATTTATTGCCTTTTCACAACCTCGCTTCAAAGCGTGCGACCGTACTTTATGTACCAATGCAGATCATTACACATCATTCATTTTCAATTACCAAGTAATTGGTTGTGTAATTAAATAAACACAAAAACGTAACAAAACAGCACTTTAGAATTTCCAGCTACTAGTGGCAGCCTAAATATCAAAATTGTTGTATGCAATTTGAATACAATTTGTAGGCCATTGAAATGAATGTTTCATAAATTGTTGCCGTCACCACTGCCACTGCCGCCCACGCTGCCGCCACCGTGCCATAGCCAAAGTGCGTGCACCTGATGGCACTAAAAAGTGCTACAAAATAGCAAGAGGAGCAATAAAATAGCGCGCACACAAAGAGGGCGTTGAATAAAAGCAGGCAGGCGACGGCAATTAAATGCAAAAATTGCTAAAGTCAAAAAGGATTAGGTGCGAGCGTATAGTGGAGAGCGTGGAGAGGTGAGATGTGTGTAGGTGCGCTTATACTATATACATTCAAAAAATATGTGTTTGTGTGTGTATGTCTGCATATTCAATATAACTGTTTGCATGCACAAGTATTTAAATGAATTTAACGCTAAGCACACTTACCAATATCGAGCGCATAACAGCTGCCTCCGCGGCCATGTCGTCCATGCCAACTGCTGCAGCTCAATAAAATCAAAGTCAATGTCAGCCAACATAAAGTTTTATTTTTATTAACACCATGACGCTTAATGCGGCAATAACTTTTCAAATAATTTGTTGCGCAATACGTAAAATGGCTAAACAAAGCGAATGCGACGCGGCTGTATTCAGCCTGGTGCTTTCGCTGCTGCTGCTGCTGCTGTTGCTGTTGCAATTTGTATGAATTCAATTGTCGAATTTTTATTGTAGCCATTTTATGATTTTATTTCCCTTTTTCGTTTGACTTTCCGCATTCACTGTTCGCTGAACTTTGAATTTTTTTCCGAACACAACTTTGTATTTTTGTAGTTGTCCACCGAAAGGTTGCCACACTGTTTAATTTTGTTGCTATTATTTTCCTCTGTTGAACTTTGCAGGAATGGGATAGAGCAAAAGGTTGGTTACCAGCTTAGTTGTAGTTGTTATGGTTATTATTGTTATTGTGCTTTCTATTGTTGCTGCTACAACTGTCCGAGGCCAATGTCAATGTTGTGAATATTTTTTTTGTGTGCTTCTGTTACCGTTATATTCCGACCTTTCACGTAATTTCCAGTTGAACGATTGCCGTAACATTTAAAATAACGACACGCTAGTGGCATAACATTGTAGTTGACGGGAATTGTGGCAGCAACTGTCCATTTTTCGTTTCATTTTACTTCTGTGTGTTTGTATTGACCTTGCTGAATTAATTTAATTAGCATTTGAGTTGCCAAATGATGGTGTTTGTGTTGTCATATGGAAGTTTTAAATACAAATAGTCTATTTTAATCGAAAGCGTTTTGGGGAATCGATGCGAGTGTGCGTGTTGTTGTTGCGTGGGTTCAGCTGAAAAGACAGAGAGTAAAGGATTTACGTTTTAGATGTCATAATAATTGGTACTTATATATAAACTTAGACTAGACTTCAGTGCCTTTCGAGTGTATTTCTGACATAAAATACAGGGTAATTTTTGAACTATTATTTTTTTGACGAAACTGGTTTAGACAGCAGACGCACTTTTCGTGCTTTGTATCACTGTCAAACATCCTCAGTTTGGTCTATAAAGTAACCACGAATCGTCTTACAAACGGACAACGCTTGCAAATTTTTCAATTTTATTATCAAAATGCGTGCTCTGTTAAGAAATTTCATCGCGCGGTTCTTACGCGCCGCCGTCTTCAAAGCTCATTTTTTGCTTAGAGGGTGCGTAAATATACAGAATTGTGGATTTTGGGTTGAAGATCAGCCAGAAGCATAGCAAGAGCTACCGGTGTATCCAGCTAAAGTGGAAATTTGGTGTTGTTTATGGGCTGGTGGCATCATTAGACCGAATTTCTTTAAAGATGAGGCGAACCGGAAAAAACTGTCAATGCTGAGCGCTACCGTGAGATGATATCAAACTTGTTTTTTTCCCAAAATGCAAGAGCTTGACTTGCATGACAAGTGGTTTCAACAAGATTTATTTTTTATTTTATCATTTATTTTTTGACGATTATCTCTTTAAAATGGTAGCACCGGCTACGTCTCATATGGTCTATCCGATAACCCGAGCATTTCGACTGTTATATTTTGCTCGAATCCATGAATGGAAGTGAAATTGTCCGCAATGCTGTTAGACTTCACATTTCCCCACAAGCAAAAGTCTAACGATAGGCATTCGACAGGCCCAAAACTCGAAATCATCGGTTCAGCGAAGTGTTCTCTCGTTAAATCAATTGATTGATGCGAGGTTATGTTGTCACTATAAGAGAGTACATTCAAGTGCTGAGAATATGCGATGCAGTAAAGCATGGCATCCACGTTAGCCTGATGGTTAGCTAAATTTTCTAATTGCGGTCGCCCCTCGACAGGGAATTTCAGTATCTCCGAGTTTATTTCAGACATGATATAAAGGCTCCTCATAAAAAAAAAATATATATATATGTAAAAGAAAGCATGGCGAAAGCAAGAGAGAAGGAAGACCTTCATTTCTTCAGAAAAGTCAGGGTGCAGAACCGCCTGGCTTCACTTGGTCTTCTCCCGGTTTGGCACCGAACAGCAAAAAAGCAGAGTCAACTATCGCCCGTTTTAAACTTGCCTGCCTTGCTGTCTCCACAATAGGACGAGTCTTGAAAAGCACTTCATTGAGGCGGTAGGCAGAGTTCTATATATATATCTCTCTTCTAAAATCATAATTCATTTGTATACTTTCACACCGTCAGCTCTATTTTCTTTGCTGGTGGTTTATTAAAAATGATCTAGATGATTACTAGTGTTCACACACCATATAAACCAGTTCGATATTTTTCCGTCAATTACGTTGCATACGATGTTAGAGAAGAGAAAAGAAGAGAAGAGAGAGTGAGAGTGAGAAAGAGAGAGAGTCAGAGAGAGAGGGAGAGGAACGGAAAACTCTAGTGAAAGTCCAAGTGTATGTAAGACTACTCCAAAACTAGCAGCATTCTATATAGAGTATGCGCTCTAATTAGCATTAGGATGTGCTCGGGTAGGACTCGGCATAACAATAGGGTACTTCATGGAGTCCTACGATAGATTACTACATATATGGAGTATTCATAAAAATCTCTTTTCAACGCAGCTGACTCAATTTCAGTTCAATAAATTTTCTTTAAATAACGCTTGTTCCACATTTCCATCTTCGTGCCATGATTGCGAACGTTTAAACAAAAGCTGATAGCGAAACATGAGTTGATCCACCGCCGAATTACTGTGGAGTACTCCGATAGCTACTGCAAAAGACCACACAAATTTTTTCAACGCTTCTCCTTTAGATTTTCATATTCTAACATACGCATTGTTTTCCCTTAATTCTTCTTCTTAACCTCCCCTATGACACAAAATTTAAACATCGCTTTGGATTGACATTTAGAATAGTTGCTGGGGAAAATTCTGTTGCCATTGGGGCTTGCATGAATATAAAATTTATATATTTAGTTTTCCCCGACAAACAAGAATAAAAAAAACTATTTTGCACAAGTGAAATTTATTTAAACTGTCACATTTTGCAAACGCGTTGCATATAAGCGTTTGCATGACAAAATGTGTCAAGTCAGGTTGATGAGCGCTGGAAAACGCAAAAAATTAAAAATTAAATAAAAAAAGAGAGGAAATGTGAAACTGAAAATAGCTCACAAACGCCAGTGGGCAGGAATATCTACAATCAGCGCAAGGCTTTTATGAAGTTATTTTTAATATTTTTGTATGTCAGTGTTTATGGTTGTTGACTCTATGCGTTGGGTCGTTTCGTTTGACTACAACAACTGATCTAATCGAATTGATATAGTTAGGTTCGTTAATCTAGTTGGCATAGTTTTTGCTGGGTGCCCTATGCTGTTTCCAAAGTTCCATTTTCGGCATATTTTAATGTTTTACTATTGAAATTGTAAAAATGAGAATCATGCAAGGTGGAGAAGAATTCGTGTTGTGTACGTAGATAATATGTTCACCGAATACCAATGGAGAAATTGGGGGAGTGCATCTACGTTTCACAATATGCTTGTCTGTAGTACTGATTCCAGCACCAAAAAATACATCAATCTACTTGGCTGCCCCCTTACCAAAAAACACATAACCAGACCGATCGTGTTGTGATAGACAAAAGATATGTCTTAAGTGTTCTTGACGAGCATACACTCCGAGGATCCAACATCGACTCTGACTATTATCTTGTTACAGCGAAGAATGCCCGTTAACAAATACAAGGAAAGCTCGACGTTAAAAAGCTGCCATCACAACAGATTGCCGAACGATTTTCTAATCGACTTGCACTCCTGACCTCTGAGAGCACTCAACAGCAACTCGGTATACGGGAACTGCGGGACGGAATTTTACACTCCGTACGTACAGCTGTAAGCAAAACTATTGGATTTTGTAAAGGTCGCAAAAACAGCTGGCACAATGAGGACTGCCGCGTCGTAGTGTAGAGAAAGCAGACTACCTACCTCGCAAACCTTGCGATCGACCAAAACACGTGTGGGATGGGCTAGATACCGAGAGATGAAAAGAGAAGCAAGACACATCTGCAGACATACGTAGCGTGTTGTATGAAAGACTGAAACCCACCGTCAAAAAACTGATTGGACCTCATCAGTGTTAGATATTCACCATGAGCCTAATCTTGGAAAATACCCGTGAAAAGCTGACCGACACCCACTCCCTCTTCGTCGATTTTAAAGCCGCCTTCGACAGCATGAATTGCAGCTGCCTTTACACCGGTATGTGACACTAGACAACACCAGAAGCGCAGCCAAAATTGGGAAGAACCTCTTCGAACCGTTTGGTATCAAATGAGGATTCAGACAAGGTGAATCTTTGTTGCGTGGCTGAAAAGAGATATAAGACAACAGACATCACATTCGCAACTTAGCTCCCACGCCACTCTTGACAGGCATAACTTTGAAATTTATATGCGACTTAACACCAATAATTACTTCAACCTCGAAATCCCGCGTAAAATCACTCTTTCCAGCAGATGTTATTTTGGACTGAGTAGGCAATCGAAAAGTAAAGTCCTCTCCTGACGAACGAAAACTCTACAAGTTCCTCATGGTGCTCGTCCTGCTATATGGTGCGAAAGCAGGGTCGATGACAACATCTGGTGAGTGGGCTTTAGGAGTTTTTGAGTGAAAGGTTTTGCGTAAGGCAACGGCGAATATTGCAGACGATAGTACGATGAGCTGTACGAGTTTTACGGCGTCATTGATATAGTTCAGCGAATCATGAAGCAGCGGCTACGCTGGCTAGGTCAAGTGGTCCGAACTAATGCGAATACTCTAGCTTTCTTCTACTCCAATGGAAAGACAGGGTAGAGAGAGACTTGGCTGTACTTCGTTTTTCCAATTGGCGCCCAACAACAAAAAGAAGAAACGAATTGGACAATGTTGTTAACTCGGCTATAATCGGATAGGCGATATCTACGCCATTAAAGTAAGAAAGCATCTACGTCCAGGAAGGCCTATTGTAGCCCAAGAGTAAAAATTAAGTCTTTGATGGATTAAAATTATCGAATAATAAGTTGAGGTATTGCGATGGTTAACCAGCGCATCAAACGTTTAGGATTTGATTCAAAGCTTGACATAAGGGAGCTGATCATATTCTTATAGAACGAAATCTACTTCGCCGCCAACGACTGTGATTTGCTTATCAACTATCAAATAAATGATCTATTTTTAAGACGTTTTGTTGATACGAAGAATGGATTGTTTACAACCATGTAAAGCGCACAAGATCATGCTCTAAGACGTATGAGCCAGCTTAAACTACATTGTAGGCCGATATTCACCAAAAGAGTATAGTTTATTTTGAACTTTTGCCGGACAATAAATACTACGATTAGCTCCAAAGTATACCATGATCAGCTAGTCAAACAGAAGAGGCCAAAATTGATCAATAGGAAAGGTAAAGCGCGGCTTGATGACTCGTCAAAGCTTTCCGCTGCTTGAAAGGGATATGCTATCACAGCCAACATACACTCCACACTTGGTACCTTTGTACTGTACTATTACTAATTGTGGTCACACCAAAATTTTTTGGACGGTAGAATCTTTATTTCAAATTAAGATATCAAAACCACTTGCACAAACTTTTGCCAGCAGGAATTAATCTCTTGCCCGATAGCTGGCAAAAGGTATTGGATCAAAAATTGGGAATAAATAATTTAATAAAATAAACACTTAGATAAATACTCAAAAAATATAATCGTTGGTGCCAAAAAATTTCAAAAATAAAATGAAAAGGTTTTATAATTTAAAATAAAGAATTTTTTATAGAAAAACCAATACGAATTCGAAAATTCGTTAGATACTGTTTCAAAATTTCAATCTTATCTAATGAGTTGAAAAAAATGT